GTCCTTCTCTTGCTCATCTCCTGCACCTATTTTGGTTAGTTCATTCCAGACATCTTTTGCAGTGTCACATTTCCTTATTCTAGGAAATATGGACTCATCTACTGCCTTGAAGAGAATATCTCTTGCAACATTATCAAGATTGTTCCTCTTCCTGTCTTCAGTTGTCCATTCCATTTTTGGTTTAGGAATGTATACATCTTCAGTTCCTTCTGTGGCTCTGGATGTGATGACTTTCATAATTTTGATAGGCCCATCAGTGATCACTTCCAGCATTTCATCATGCAAAGCACTGAGATGTGCTTTCATCCTGATTTTCCAATCATCAAACTTGTCCAGGTTGAACATGAGATTTTTGGAAAGTTGGTTATCCATTTTTAGAAAGTTTAGGGAAGCAGTTGGCTTTGGATCTTTGGTTCAAAAAATAGTCAGAAACTGACTCTAGGAACACACCGCTCTGATACCACTTGATGGTCCCGGATAGAGGTAAAAGTCTAGAGGGGGGGTGAATAGACTTTTATAGCTTTTTCGTCTTTAAGAATATTTCCCTTCTAGATGAGTTGATCTATAATCTTTTGGGAGATTAATAGATGCACAGCGGAAGTCTTTAACCTCTAGAAACTCAGTTTAAGACAACTTTCTAGTCTGGGTGAAGTTTAGACTAATTATGGAAGGGCAGTAGGCTTGGCAGTTGGATGATGAGTAGGCGACTGCTGAGGCAACTGCTGAGTTGGCAGTTAGCTGAAATGCAGGAGACTGCTGAGGCAACTGCTGAAAAAAAATATTGAGTGTTTGAAGGAGGTGATGATGAAATGTTGCTAAGAATAGTGAGGGCTTATGAAAATGTGCTTTAGTATATGTAATCAGAAGTTTAGCTGGAGCAGTGGTCTTAGCAGTTGATTGGTGATGAGGGCACTGCTGAGGTGCCTGCTTGGTTTAGAAGATAAATTTCACAGAGCAGTTTGGTCAGCTTCCTCTTTCGTAATGTTATGAAGGTCCAGTGATATTGGAATGCTTAAGAAAAACAAGTGTTTGTGAGCAGAGGGCTTAGCAGTTGGATGGACACTAGGGGACTGCTGAGGCACCTGCTACACTTGAGAATGAATTTCTGTAAAATGACCTGATAGGCTTTTTAGTGTTATTTGTACACGTTTCTTGGAAAAAAGAATTCTCAGAGAAAGTAAGTAATTAAGCAGTAGGATAAGCAGTTAAGTCTGTTAAGGCAACTGCTTAGGATGCTGCTGGCAAACTCCAATCTTTTTGTGAGAAGTGTTGGTTGTGTGCTTTGTTGACTAAAATAGAATCAACACACGATGTATCCTGGTTCAGAGGTGGTGTAATCCTCCTACGTCCAGTCCCACCCTCTTTCAGATGGATTTCACTAAAGTATTAATCCCAATACACTTAGTGTCAATCCAGCCTTTACAACACTTAGGCCTAGATTGAAGGTTTTTCACAATGAGTATAGCACCACTCAAGGTTACTCAGTCCTTAGACTTTTCTCTATTGAACCAGTGGGGTTCAAAAGGTACTCTTTTCTATCTAACTGCACTTTAGGATCTGAACAACCGTTCTCCTAAGTGTTTACAACAACTTGTTATTACAAGAAAGTTCTAACCTCCAACTATGAACTAAGCTCTTCAAATATGGCAGTTGTTAATCTAATTTTAGAGCTTAGTGAAGCATGAGTCTAAGCAGAGAGCAAAGTTGAATTGGCACTTTCTCTTTTGCTTGATAGCTCGTGAATACTTAGAGTGAATACTCTACTTAGAAGACTCAAAAACTTGGTTTTAGAACTCATGCCTATGCCTTCTTTTATAGGCTTCTCCAGTAGGTTGATCTCCTCCGTTGGTTGAGAGGATTCAATCTTATTCGCAGAATGAGGTGTACTTTTGTTCTCTTGTGCTGGAGCTGATAATGGAAATTTCCTTTGTCTTCACTGATTAGTAGCTAGAAGATCAAGTCAAGGATCAATCTTCACGATTTGGTGTGTGCGACCCATCTTCTTTGGTCTTCGTACTGTTGAGCATTTAATGCTCTTCTTGTCTTTGTCTTCAATCATACACATGCAGTGTATGTGTGTGTGTTTGTGCCGTGTTTTATTATATTATGTACCAAGTGAATTTGTACTGGTAGGATCAAAGTCTCTTTCAAAGGTAAACAAATTTTACCTTAGTGTAATTTTTAGTTTCCAGTACAATTTATTTGGTACAGAATTTTATTGTCGTTCCTTGATGAGCTGATTATGTGACTTGATAATTTTATGTACTAAATAAATTTATACTGGTGGGATCTGAATATCCTTTTAAGGTAAAAATTTACCTTATTGCATTTTAATTTTCCAGTAAAAATTTATTTAGTACAAAAATTGTACATTTTAATTACTCACAGTTTGAGAACCTGATCAATTCTTAATTTAGTAAGAACACAGGGCATAATGACTTTTAGTATAGTGGCATCATCAAAATCTTATCAAAATTGGGTACTAACATCTTGGTTTTGCTACTTTGAAGCTTAATGAGTTGTAAGTTGTGAGTTATTTTCTTTAATCTTCTTCCTTGAATATTAATTCTTCCTTTAATCTATCTATATATTAATGTTGGGGAGTGTTACTAAGATGACAATTAGTTAACATCTCGACATTAGTTATAGTAGTATTTATTTTCTTCCTCTATACATTAATGTTGGGGAGTGTTGCTAAGATGACAATTAGTTAGCATCTTGACATTAGTTATATATAGTAGGATTTATCATCTTTAATATTCTTCATTGAATATTAATTAATTCCTATTCATATTTTATATTAATATTTTGAACATTACTTAAAGGATCAACTAGTTTTGTTTCATATATTAATTATCACTAGAATCGATCGACGAGTACACTTGTTAATCGTTCGGTCTTTTCATGGTAGTAAACTTGGATTATTAATGCATGCGTCTCATGGTTAATAATCTAAGGGGAATTAATTATATTGATTAAACCAACAAACCGCTTGTGTTGAGGTTATCAATCTCAATCGTTTTCATCTTAAATTTATTGCTACTATCGGGTTAATATACGGCGCATGTTCTATATTAACTTGGTAGTAAGTTTTACTAATGAACGCGTCTCGTTATTAATAACCACCCTCAATGAACTGGATATACTCCTCGATTGAGTATTCGAGAGGAAGATAGTTAAAGATATAACCGGGATCGACGGACATTTCATTAAGTGGATAAATGCAAAACAAAGTCTTCATCTCCATTAATTAAACCACATAAGTCGTTCATCTTAGTGTTAATTAAATTAAATCAAATCAAACTAAAATCCCCCCTTTGTTATTAGTTATATAAAAGAAAAGTATTCCTTTCCCTGTGGATACGAACCTTACTTCGTTATACTACGTATAATTGTTGTATTGTACTATTATTTTGAGTGCACACCACAATAAAGTGTACGTCAGTACTGCTGGTCCATCCTCCTGTTGAACCACCGTCATGGATTGCACCAGTTGGTGTTCTGGCTGTCTGTGGAACTGTGGAAGGTCTCCGTTAAAAGAGATCAATAATAATGGAGCTTGGCAAGTAGTGATAGGCTCATTTAGTTTGCATTTTAATACTAGTATCTTTCAGTTTGTTTTTTATTTTGGAACCCTAGTGTCATCGGTGTGTTTTTCTTATGAGGCGGGTAGGTACTTTATTTTGTGATAAGGAGTAAGATGGCTTCGAAAGCCGTGATAATCTTCAAATCTCTCAGAGGGTTAGCAACTTGATCCGCTCTATTTAGGGTGGTCGTTTCTATGTCTAATCAGAGGATGAGGGGACCTTTGGGTCATGAAGAGTTTGGTAGTATAAGGCTGTCCAGTATGGAGAAGTAAGTAATATTATATTGTTGGTTCGTAATCTCTAATATAATCATTCAGTTTCCTTTCCAAAAAAATTATGCTAAGGAAGACTTATCTGACTTAACATTGTTGTCTTCCCACTTTCCTTTTTTAGTCATAACATTCATATCTTCCCATTTTTAAATCTTTCCATTATAACATCAAAAATTTTAAAAATAATACACTATTACAGCTACTTTTTTGGATTTATTCTTCATTCCAGCACATTATTTCATTACGTTCCCATCATACCCTCAATAATTTATACGAAGTATTATTTCTTTTAACTATTTTTAATCTTACCTACTTTCAAATGGGAAGATATATAGAAGTATATGTTACGGAGGTAGTAAAACACATCTCATTCCAATGATCAATATTGGAAGTAGTTTTCTCTCTCCACCAGCTTGGTGGATCTCATGACATTAGATAGATAAGAATAGTTTTTCTCTAAGTAGCGTGCGATTTTTTTATGTTACCCGCCATTTCCAATGATACACACGGCTGTTCCACTGGCACCAGGGGAGAGAAGTCAGAAACATATAGAAGGGTATCGTACATTTCTTCACATGTACTAATGAGAATGTTGTAGTTGAATTATTTAAATCTAAATTAAAAATATAAAGTAATGTGGTCCAATAAAATGAATAATAGGTACGGTAACTCATTATTTTAAAAGGTATCGGAGTTGTCACATTTTTTTAATTACCCCTTTTGAGTAGGGCCGGCTTGTGGGTTTGGTGTACACAAACAATGAAAACGTGCATTAACTTGCTTAGCTTTGCATAAATTAAACTCGTTCGGTGTTTCCTTAGTTTTACATTGGTTTTGATAGGATTTGATTGGACATAGCGTTATTTTGTATGAAATATATATGTGCATAATTTACTTGAAAAGTAGGCATATGTTTCTTAAATAATTAGGCATATATTTTTTGCACTTGTTTTTCATAGTTTTGCACATTGCAACGGGTAGATGTTTTTCATAGTTTAGCACGCTATGAATTATTGCCACATACGCATTTCATTCTTTTGGTATGGAACACGCTGGTGAATCAGAAAAGCAAACAAGATGTAGAATAAGATGGAAAAATAGTAATGTTGTGAAAACATTTCTTGAGACATGTATCCATGAGATTTTTGTAAACGGGCAGGAAGATAGTAGTCTGGAAGCACTTCCTTGAAAGAAAGGTGTTGACGTTTTGAATTTGACTCATAAGTTTTCTATTGAACGGAAGCAAATTCAAAATCATTACGATTATCTTAAAGAAAAATATAGAGCTTGGTTACTACTCAAAAATAAAACGGGTAATGTGTATGATCCGTCCACCAACACGGTTAATCTTAGGCACGAGGAATGGAAGATTGAAATTAAGGTAATTTTTGCCTAATGGAAACCTCTGTTTATTTCGTTGTTTATTTTGTTCTATATTTTACATTTTTTTAACACAGAAAATAAGTACATTGAAACTTTGAGGACTATATCCTTCTGATAATACTTCAAATTATAATATTGAAGATGACATGGCAAAGATGTGCAATTTAACTGAACTTGATCCACTTGCTCCAGAGTTTATATTTGCAAAGAGGACTGTTTTCTTCAATTTACCACATGATCATAGTAGAGTTGCATATATTAATTTTATGTATGCTGAACAAAAGAGAAGTGCGACTAGTACATATTGCATAGTCGCAGTGAAGTGTATTTTTACTTTTTCATTAGATCGACATGTTTGTCCATTCATGATTTTTTGTTATGTGATATGGACAAGTTCTTAAGCATTTATGTGACTTCAATGTTATTATTATTAGATCTATCTCTAATTTCAAATGTTCACATTTATGATCTAAATACTACGTATTTGATTGTAGGTCATTGTGGATTATTAAATAAGCAATGTAGAGTGTAGACAATTTCTTCTCATGTTTCAGCAACAATATCTCTTATGTCAAGAATATTTTGAAATAGATAGTGAAAATATGGATATGATGGCTTGTATGATGGCGTATATGTGTGAGTATTATTTCAAAAATATTTACAAGGAACCATACATGCATGACGTCTTATTTGATTGGAGAAAGATGGATGAATGAGTTATAAAATGGTCATGAAAAACGATTTATCAATGCATTTGGAATGACACGAAATACTTTTCATCATTTACGTGCGGATCTAGAGACTGAGTATGGTTTGAGGACTTCAAGTAGGGTGTCAGTTTGGAGAATTCTGCACTGGGTGATGATGAAATGAGAAATCATCAGATACGATTATATTGGTGATAACTTTGCTTCAAGTTTGATGTCATGGATCTTTTTTTTAAACTATTACGTAGTATTTCGTTCTTGGTATTGGTAGAGCTAGTGAACTCATGAATTTTAATTATCATGTTTTTATTTAGTTAAATTTTAGATTATTTATTAATTTATACATAGGAGTATATGGGTATAGTTATAACAAAATGCGTAGTAACAATAAAAAATATATGCTAAAATGTACTAATGTCTATTTTATTATCTTTTTACCTATTAATCGTTATAAACAAACAGCTAAGTTACCAAATTTCTTTTTGCAACCTGCAAAATTAATGCGCAGGTAAAACCCGCTGACTGAAATATGCTATCTTCAACCCGCTAACACTATCTGTCAACCGCTGATTGCGAAACATGGTCTAAAGTAAATCATTTTAGACCATACTAGATTCAGAAATTAAAAATATGTTAGTTGTATTTGCAATTATTAGAACCTAAACTATAAGAAAAGTACTATTTTGTGATCATTCTTATACCCACTAAATGTGAGAGAATATGTGTCAAAACATGACATATTGTGTTTGGCAGGGGATTCACGCACAAAACAATTAGAACTATAAGAGTGGGTAGAAATAGTAGGGGTGAAACTACAAATAGGAGTGTCAAGAGACTAATATATTCCATAAGCTAGCATCATACTTAGTACCAGAAAGAAAGATGGGAAGACTGGAAGGAAGGACTAGATTACAGTCAGCCGCCCTTTTGTTCAACGCTATGTTGATGGGCATCGGAAGCTGCGGTAGCCCTCTTGTCGCGCGCCTCTACTTCATCGGCGGCGGCACCCGGATATGGTTTTCCACCTGGCAGCAAACCGCCGCTTGGCCAGTCACTCTCATCCCTCTTTTCGTCTGCTACCTCCATCAAGTGACTCCGGTGAGTTCCACCACATCACGCCGTTTCTTTTCATCTCCGCCTCCCTCATCGGCCTTCTGATGGGCCTAGGCAACTACCTCTTCATGTGCGGTGTCTCCAAGCTTCCGGTCTCGACGGTGCTTCTGATCGGGAGCTCTCAGCTCGCGTTCACGTCGCTATTCGCTTTCATCCTCGTGAAGCAGAAGTTTACGGCGTTCATGATAAACGCTGTCGTTTTGCTGACCTTATCGGCGGGGAACGACCGCCCGGCCGGAGAGTCTAAGAAGGAGTACATTTTGGGGTTTGCCTTCACAATTGGGTGTGTGGCTTTGATAGGGTTGCTTTTGCCGTTGGTGGAGTTGAGTTATAGTAAGGTGAAGATGGCCAGAATTGAGTACAGTATGGTTCTGGAATTTCAGATGGTTCTGTGTTTTGCTGCCACTGTTTTCTGCACAGTTGGAATGCTCATAAACCATGACTTCCAGGTAATGTATGGTGCCTTATTCTCCATACTAATTGAATGCTTCTATTCATAGTGATTTCAGTGGGAGCATATCGAATATATATTTAAAGTTGGAGAACAATAAAGTACCTACTCATAAACCAACATTTACCATACATAAATGCACCAGTTCAAATGAATAAAATAGCTAGTCCTAAACCAAACAAATTGAATAAAATTTCAAATCAAATTATTACAAGCATCCTTATATAGTTATATTTGTCTCTTTGGACATCACCCATGTAGACATACATCCAAAAAAAATTGTACGGATGAAGAGTGAGATTTGTATGGATGAAGAGAAATAATCTCAGTCACATACGTAGTATAATTTACTTTAAAAGGAAAATGAAAAAGTTTTATTGACAAAAGAAAATAAGAAAATTGGTAAAGTCTTATATGACTAAAAGAGTAAAATATAAACTGGTATTAGAAATCTAGTCTAACATTGATAAAAAAGACTAAGCATGTTTTAACTTGGACTGTTTTCAGTTCCAGAATAACTGAACAAACATAACCAGACTTAAACAGCCAGACCAGACCAAACTTTATAATTATAAAATTCAACGGTCCAGATTTATTCTCATTTCTCTCCTGGGAGTCCTTTCTCACTGGAACCACACTCCCTAAATATATATATATATATATATATATATATATATATATATATATATATATATATATTATATATATATATATATATTTTATATATATATATATATATATATATATATATATACACACAAATGTTCCTGTCAGGTATACCTGACAGGAACCGCCGTCCGGCCTCCTCCTTTTGGGGGCCTTCCCGGTGGTATTTTTTGCTCAAATTTTTTGTGTATGTTCCTCATCAAGTCTAGTTCATCCATACCAAATTTCATTAAAAAATTCAATCGGTAAGGTCGTCAAATGATTTTTGCAAGTTAACTGGTCCGGAATATGTATTTTCCGGACCGGTTAACTTGCAAAAATCATTTGACGACCTTCCCGATTGAATTTTTTGCTGAAATTTGGTATAGATGAACTAGACTTGATGAGGAACATACACAAAAAATTTGAGCAAAAAATACCACCGGGAAGGCCCCCAAAAGGAGGAGGCCGGACGGCGGTTCCTGTCAGGTATACCTGACCGGAAGATTACTCTATATATATATATATATATATATATATATATATATGTATGTATGTATTCATTCTCACCTGACCATAACTCTGGAATAATCTCAGGACGGTCTGCTATTAAACAATTAAACCATAAATCTCACATTTACAAATCATTAAACTATAAATTTCACTTTTTACAGATCTTCTCAAAACAGTCTGACATGCATATGATTCTCTTTTTTTTTCTTTATCATTACAATGCTTTAATTCTTTTTTCTTCTTTTTTGTTTTCATTTATTCACCTTGTTTATGTATTCCTTTATTCATTTACCATAAGATTTTTTATAAAATTTTCTTTCGATAGTTTTTCTATTTTTTTCTTCTCCAGTCCTTCATTTTAATTATCTTTCCTTTTTATATATTCCTATTCGTTGTAGTCTCTTTTTATAATTTTTTCAGGCTACTTGTTTACTCCCTCCGTCCGTAAATGTTGTTCCAATTGCGGATTACGAAGGTTGCAACGATAAAGTTAAATGATCCATGTGAAAACTCGGATTATTTTTAGTAAATAAAATTTACATATTCAGAACTACACTAAACCCGCTACAAATTCTGCAAAAAATAATTCAACTTTTATAAAATTTTGATATAAAAAGTAAGAGTTTAAGAGTGATTTAAGTTGACCCTCGATAAGCGAAATGGAACTTCTTTTAGGGACGGAGGGAGTATATTTTTTTTTTACTTTTTTAGAAAACAAAAAATATGTTAGTTGTGGTATCAAGGCAAGAAAAGGAAAAATGAAATAAATAAGTGGAAGTAAAAAGAAAGTAAAGTAAAAAATTTGTAGGCTGAGAAAAAGATCTTTTATAGTAAGGGAACTAATCGGTAAAAATACATAAAATGGAAATGAAATAATGAACGAGGAGAAGAAAAAAAAGAAGGAAAAATTGATTACATAAACATGGAGAAGAAATAAATCTAAGAATAAGGAGATAAAAAATGGAATTAAAAAGTCAAGAGGATAAAAATAAAAAGAGAAAAATTTTAGGGAGGAAAAAGAAAAATCATATGTGGGATCACAAACCGGTCAAGGATCGATGAAAAAAGATTATATGCAAATGTGAGATTATTCCTGAATTACGCTAATGTGGAAGTGTGAGACTATTGTAAGAAAACTACTAAAAGATGAGATTATTATATTATTTTACATTTTCCCAATATTTAATATTTAATTAATTGGGTAATTCACTTTAAGCTTGGCCGCGCTTATCTTTCCCGGCCAAAGGGGTAATATATATCGTACAGCCGGTTGTACCTAAGTCATGGACTCATGGTACAACCGGGTTTTTTTTTGTAATTAAATTCAATTATAGGGTAAAAATTAGGTTAATGCCTCCTGCTACTTTTTTGGCTGATGACTGCTACAAGTCCATGACTTTACTCTTTCTTTTATTTTTTGGTTTTCACTTTTCTTTTCGTTGCTTTTCACTTTCGTTTCTTGCTTTTCACTTTTTAGTGGCTTTTCATTTTTCATTGTTTTTGTTGTTTTCATTTTCAGTCCTTTTTTTCTTTATTTTTTTCATTAACATGCTTTATTTTTTTATTCAATTATAATGCAAATGTATAATTTAAAATATTGTTAATGTTCGAGTTTATTTTTTCTTGTTTTTCCAATCAAACTTTTAATTTAAGAGGTCGTTTGGCAGCACTGTTTATTGGCTTATCAGGATTATCAGACAACTTTTTCACCCAACATGCAACTTTTGTTTTCGTGCGCTGAATTGTGTAATAAGCAGAAAAAGTAAGGTTGGAGTTACTTTTCTGGTTGTATTGGCTGAAGTTACAGTAGATAACCATTTTAGCTATTTTTACATATAATTTTTTCTTTATTTTATTAATAAAATATATTTTAAAAATAACTTTTTCTTAAATCAGCAAAATCAGCCAATGCAATAACTTCAGCCAGTACTTCATAAATTTTAGCAGAATCAGCCAAATCATCCGATTTTAGTTCTACCGGGCTCTAAGTTTCTGCATTAAACTAAATCACTTTTTATATCTCATTCCATCAACCTCTTAGTTCTCAACTTCTCATATGATATATTTAGCCATTTAGGGCTTCATGAATATAAATATATAATCCGATGCATTTAGGCAATAGGATAGATACTTCAATCTAATTGATCTAAAATCTTTAAATTACAACTCATTTATAATTATTATTAATTCCTTTGTACTTCTTGAGAATAAATCGGGTAGTTTTCTTAGTGTTCTAAAATAGTTATAAATTCATAATTAAGTATAGAGGTGTGGGTTTCTAGATCTACCGACATAAAACACTAGTTAAATTACCAATAAGTTCCAGATGGTGCCAAAATAACACACTTCAACAGTTTCAACCAATCTAGCAACTTCAGTTAAAATTTCATAAATTTCTACAGAACAGTCGATTCACCAATTTCAGTGTTTTTAAACGGACTCCAAATTATTATCAAAGCAGCTAATTGTAACAAGTATTGTAGGGGATAAACTTAATTAATTAGTGGGATGAACAACAAAATAGCCTGGGAAAAAAATGTGGGAGTGAAGGAGAGTTATACAATGCGTCAAATTTTGTTTATTACAAATCCCACCCATTATCCTTATTTATTGTTGATTACAAATTTTGTTTATATTGTGCAGGCAATATCAAGGGAAGCAAGAGAGTTTGGATTAGGAAAAACGAAGTACAACTTGGTAATAGTGGGGAATGCAATATTTTCACAGTTGTATTACGTGGGAGCCCTCGGAGTGACGTCGTACGGCTCATCTCTGCTGTCTATGGTCATCATCACCGTCCTCCTCCCCATCACGGAGCTCATGGCCGTCGTCTTCTTCCACGAGAAGTTCCAGGCCGAAAAGGGCATCTCTCTTTTCCTCTCCTTCTGGGGATTCGTTTCTTACTTCTACGGCGATATAAAAAACAATATTAAGAAAAAGAACCAGCAACCGGCGGCCCTGCAAATTACCGAGTTGCCCTCTTCCGTCATTTCACCGTCAAAAAGTGTGACCGGTCCTTGAAGTCGTAGCTCAACACAAATCTGCTCTATAACTCTGTCTAATACTTTAGTGGCATGATAAGGGCCCTTTCCAAATGCATTATGTAGTATCTTAGCTTGATAGTGAGTGACATTTTAACTTTAGAACATCTCTAATGCTAAAATGTTAACGGTGCATACGTCACATGAAGGATAGACAATCAAAAATGATAAATAAAATATATCTCTCCTTTTATGAAGAATTTTATATCTTTTTGGTAAGTTCTTCTTCACAATGTCCAGCACAATGTCTAGATGTAGAAATTGTGATTGACATTGCAGAGAAAAACTTACCAAAAACACATAAGACCGTGGAAAGATGGAAAGAGAAATGTCATAAAATTAATCTTTTGTTTCTATCTCTCTCATGTCACATGTGCACCGTGCACATTGTAGCATTGGAGATGCTTTTAAAAGTCTTGATCGACTTTTGAGTGTGTAAAAATAAGAAGTAAGTCATGATTTGTATATGATTTAAATAAAAATGATTGATCAAAATGTGATTTAAATAAAAGGCTAAAGGGTCAAATAGGTACATGAACTAACTTATAGTGTTCAATTAGCTCATTATATAGGAGGTTCTGCCCGGCCGTCGCCAATTGGGGCGGTTCCTGGTGGAATTTTTTGATGAAATATTTTGAGCATCTTCTACCGGGAACCTCCCCAATTGGCGATGGCCGGGCTCAACCTCCTATATAAGGGGCTAATTGAACACTTTAAGTTAGTTCATGTACCTATTTGACCCTTTAGCCTAAATAAAATGACCAAATGTTATAAAAAATTTTCAAATACTTAAAAGAAAAATTATATTTTGTGAAAGATGAAAGATGGTATTCCAGAGCGGAGAGCTCGGAAGGATATGATCTCCTAGCCTTCTTCTCTCTGATTGAGTCTTTGATGATGTCGACGTTCTCTGCGCAATAATTAATCGCTACTAGAATTTTCTATATTTCTTGCGATTTTTAATCATGCACAATAATAAGTTCCATATTTATAATCAAAGGTTTCCTATGCTTCCTTTTTTTTCCTACCTTTTAGGATTCTGATTTTTGTTTGCCTTCTTCTTTGGCCGAGAGTTATGTTTTCCTCCTAGCAATGTTTACAGGTATGTTCCTCGTCGGTGTAACCGATCGGGTGGTGAATTTTTATTGTTCATGGTTGGAAAGGCTTGTTCAACCTAGTTCTTGTGAGGCTTCAATTACTCACCCTCCACTTAAACTAATCCCTCACTTTGAGACAAAGTACTAAGCACTCAATTCAACCGGATCACCTTTTTGTGGCTGATCAAACGAATGATTCAACCAATTTTTGTTCAGTTTAGTTTTCTTTGTTGATTGCACGTCAAATCAATTCTCCCTTTTCGCTTTTTCCAGTGGCTGATGAAATGTGTGTTTTCTCGCATGAAATTTCTCGCATGAAAATTTCTCATCCAAACCTTCATCACTATAGCCAATGAAAATGAGTTTCTCACTTTTTCATCAAACTTTTTTCTCTTTTGTGAAGGAATGAGAGAATAAGCAATACAACCAAAAACTTTAAGATGACTGACAGTTGGCTTCCTTCCATGCCATGCTTCAAAAGGTGTTTTATTTTGCAACACCTTTTTTTGTGATCTATTTAGGATGTATGAAGCACTACTAACAGCTTCAGCCCAGAAATTGTTTGGAAGCTCCTTAGCTTTTAACATGCTTCTTGCCATTTCTACAATTGTGCGATTTTTCCTCTCCGACACACCGTTTTGATGTGGTGTGTATCTGATTGTTAGTTGCCTCTGAATGCCTTGTTCCTTAGCTTGCAATAGTTAAGAAATGGTCTTTTGATAAATTCACCTCCTCGGTCTGTTCTAAGAGTCTTTATCTCATAGCCACTTTTTTTCTCAACAAAAACTTTGCAGTGCAGGAACATCTTGAAAGCCTCAAATTTCTGCTCAAGAAAATATATCCAGATCATTCTGGTATAGTCATCAACAAAGAGCAAAAAATACCTTTTGTTACCAAGTGAAGTAGTTCTTGCAGGTCCACAAATATCTGCACATACTAACTCAAGAGGGGCATGTGCTCTCCAAGCTATTTTCGGAAAAGGAAGGCAATGCATTTTTTCAAAAACACAGCCTTAACAAACTTTGTCATTCTTCTGAATTTCTGTTGGTCCCAGATTTCTGTAGACTAACACACAGCTAGATGGATATCATCGATAAACAGAGAAGAAAGATTACCCAGAATGATTTATGCAATATCGAGAACTTGGAAATCGTCTTTCTATTATATCGAGAAGGATTTTGGCAGCGTAAGGCTAGAGTGTATTTTATCGATATCGGTACCTGTACACAAGGCGCATATTTATAGGCGCTGTACAGGTTACCGATTTAGGTAAACCTTGAGGTTTGGGCCAAGGCCTTTTTGGGCCTTATTCCCTTTCACCTATTTATTACAAAATCATTACTAATCTAATACCATAAATGGTATATCTAGTCTACTTTATTAAACAAGACATTACACACAAACTTGACTCACAATAAAAGTTCTAACAATCTCCCCCTTTGTGGTCAAGTGCCATCTTGCTGGTTATTTTCACTGCTGAGCTTTGAAATAATTCTTCTTGAGATTAAGCGCATGCTCATAATTTCTGAGTGATCTTCGTCTATCCAGTTGCTTCTCGATGGCCTGTAGGATTTTCTCTATTCGATTTGACTCTTGAAGTTCGGTATCTGATGCATCTGCATACTTCTGTTGTCTTTCTTCAAACACTTTTCTGATTGGTTGCAGCTTTTCTTTTACTATCTTCAGTGTTCCATCGCAGTACTTGTTTATCTCATCAAAAAATAACAAACGTTTCTCACCATTATGATTTAGGTAGATGAGCGTGGCAGGACTATCGAAGATGTAGTAGGCAGGAAAGTCTTCAAGTTCAGGTCCATACAACTTTGGTCTTGTGAGGTTTGTCTTTGGCATGTTTGTTTCAAGGGCCATCTGAAGATCATGGAAGGCAAAGAATTTGAGTTGTCTGATCATAAAGCGCTTGAGTGCCTCGAACCCTTCTTGGGTGATTTTGTCATGATTCTGGGGAATTTTTTGGAAAGCAAGATACATCTGATTGATATCATCCATCTTCAGCATATAGAGATCATTTTCTTTGCATGTGAATTCCGTCCCGTCAGAGCGTTGTGGATGATAGACAGAGAGTTTGATATCTTGAATGTTTGTCTCAACTACATTAAGTATGGCCCAGACCGGGTCCTTTGCAGTTTGAAGTTCATGTTGCCAGACTTCTCTCTGTTTTCCCATGTAATGATGACTTAGCAAAAATAGTTGTCCGCCCTTGTTCTTTCCACGCAGGTGATTTAGGCCACGAATTTTCAACTCGTCTAGTTCCTTGACTCTTTCTTCTCTGCGCCAGATATTCTTTCTGATTTCTTCTAGAAAGGGAGTCTTAATCCTGACACTGTCCAGAGGTTTTGAAATGGTATTTTGCTTAGTGATAGATTCTGGTTCCTTGTATTTCTCTCCTTTTATGTCGTCTTTGTCAAGCTCAATCATTTCTTCAGCACATCTTCTAAGGAGCTCCATAAGCATCCAATTCCGTTGCATGTCATTTTGTTCTGCTTCCATTCTTAGATCATCCCATTCTGTCCATTTACGAGGCCACCTGTCAGGAACCTGGATGGAGTTTGTTCCTGTTGCGGTAGTGGTGATTAGGGGTGTGCACGGGTCGGGTTCGGGCGGGTTGGGTTTGCGAACCCTAAACCCGTTCGGGTTTTTTAATTTAAATACTAGGTCCGACCCTTTGATATTTCAAATCGGGTATTTCAGATATTTTTAAGTCGGATATTATCGGATATCGGGTCGGGTTTCGGATATTTCGGTTATATTAAAAAAATTATAATTGGATAATTAAAGTGTTTAAATGCCACTTTGACAAAAATTGTACACACTAGTGCACTAAACTTTCAAATTACACAAATAATTTAACACAAATCGCACAAATAGTTACACAAATAATTGAACACAAGTATTAATTTAACATATTCAAAGTACACACTACATAATTTAATATATTTCGGATATTTTGGTTATATCAAAACACATTATAATTGGATAGTTAAAGTGTTGGAATGCCACTTTAACAATAGTTGTACACACTAGTTCACTACACATTCAATTTACACAAATAATTTAATACAAATTTCATAAATAATACACAAATAATTGAACACAAGTATTAATTTAAATATTCAAAGTACACACTAACATATATTTCGGATATTCGGGCGGGTCGGGTTGGGATTTCACAAACCCTACCCGCCACCCCGGTCTAGACCCAATACTAATCGGATTTTCGGTTTCGGGTTTTTCGGGTCGGATATCCATTTCGGTTCGGATAATATCCCAAACAAATATCGGGTTTTTCGGGTCGGATCAGGTTTTGCTCAGCCCTAGTGGTGATTCGTCAGGTGTAACACCGGGATCACTAGGATTGCCCGTTGTCATCAGTTTCGAAGTAGGTTCTAGCTGATGGCCTGAGTAGAAAGATGTACTCGTAGTAGCATCATCAGGTGTCACGCCCCAGACCGCAATCCAAGCGCGTGTACAACCGCTGTATAACTAAGTGACGTCACCCACGAGTCAACCTCACTTAATTACACAAGGTGTTCGAGAAAACAATCCATCCATACTCAGTAGTAAACATACATAACAACATCACATTTAAACCAATGAATAGCGGAAATATTCAACAGTAAGTCATAGGCCACAACCGACCAACAACATGGGCATGCAAGCCCCAAAAATAGTTTATAGTAGAACAAATATCCATGAGCAAGTGTTCGGTAGTTTGAAAGAAAATAAGGAAGCACGAACCACGTCTTCCTGATGTGATATCACCCGTGAGAAGGTGCAAGTAGCAAGCTCTAGCTTCAACCTGAAAATGATGGGGCCCCCCGAAGGGGTCAGTACAAGTACCGAGCGAGTAGCAGGCTAAATATAGAATAACTAGCGTTTCAAGTATAAGACCCAAACATAGGGTGATACTTAAATAAATAGTCTTTCCCCCAAGTTATGAAATACTTATTAGTATGTATATATACTTGGAAAATATCCGATCCGTAGATCACCCTTTTATTTGGGAAAAATAGTAATAGTCAATATTCTTGACTAAAAACCCCAATCCACCCATATACCTATGAGTGTAT